GGCTCTCTACAGAGCGCTCGGGTGGCTGCAGCATGGGGGGGGCCAGCGGGGCTGGTCATGGCACCCCCCACCCTGGTGGCACCCGGGGCGGACCGCCCCCTCCGCCCCCCCCTTAGTACGCCACTGCCTGTGAGGAAATGGCCCCGTCCCCTCAGGACCAGGGAGGTGATACCGGTCCTCACCCTCGGGCCCTGACCACCCATGGTGCAGCAGCAGGGCCGCCCTGATCTGACACCAAGACATAGCAATCAAGATGGCGGAGGTCATATGTAATGGCGGCAAGACCGTAACCACCACAGGCTACTCACCAAAACTGGCAACAAGGCTCAGAAGCAGCCCACACCGCTCCCCCTTAAAGAACGTACCTTTTTACATGCTAGATAAGTGTACAGTTATAGGCTTTAACCTGTTATTATGTAATTTTACTTTAATTCCTACAGAGTTTTTGCCTTTGCTTTTTCTATGTGACAACCTACACAGCATTGCATTAGACCACATGCCAGTATAACTTGAGACAGCAACCCAAACCTGTTTATATAAGGCATTACACTGATGTTTTTTTGTCTAAAATATGCTATTACTGAATTTAAGCAAAAGGGCATCCTATTTAGCAGGAAAAGCAATGTTCTATATTATGCAGCCTTTGTTTCTTTAAAATGAGAATCTATACGGAGCTCCATAGGTGGTGCATTAAGCGATGGGTAGCATACTAATGCTTGCCTCCTTAGCAAGCACCCCTAAGCAAGAATTTCCCTATAACCCTGACACCACAGCATTGATGCCCATAACTTGTTGCGCAGATCAAATATTGTTTTATGGCACTTTGTCCTATCCAAGCGTGTACCTCTCTTGTCCTGATAAACAGACCGGGAGAAGGTGCCTGAAAAGCAATATCGATGCAGATACAAACAGGCGCAGCTTTCTTTAAAGCATACCTAACGTGATACCATGCTTAAATAACTGCTCGCCCAAGCCATGTTAATGCTGTACGCCTGAATGAAAATGCTCTAACTTCTAGACCTAATCTTACGTTATTTCATTTTACATTGCTCTATCTATTATTGTTGCCTTCTCACATTAAAGCATCATTCTATGCCATAATTAAAAAATGTGCACT